TGAAGCGGCATTGCAAAGTTAAGCGCTTCAGAGGCTACGGTGTTTGGAGGCTTCAGGGGTTCGGGCTTGAGGCTACTGGGTAGAGTGCTTTGTGGGGTTTCTTACTAGTAATGGAATGATAAGTTCTCTTGTTAACAATATAATCATAGTACGAATACGGTCTGAAGCCCCAAGGACAACTACTAACCTTGACCGGAACCCGTACCACCGAACGCAGACCTCAAACACAGAGCTGCAAAGGAGCCCGGGAAGCACAAGCAAACGGGTTAAGCTTTACACATCATAGGCTGTGATTTCCAGCTTCAGGCAGAATTGGTTTGCATCTTGCAGCTTCAGGCTTCCCTTTTCGGGGTGGAGGGTTGAAGGTTTACGAAGGCTTTGAGGGTTTAGGGGGGCTCCTCGGATTTTGAGATGGCCCCCTCCCCCCCCCAGACCTTGATCATGCTTTCGTCGCATGGTTTCTTAGCTGATGGAGGTGCTGGTCTTCCTGTGACACTTTGTGTTGACAGGGGTTGCGATGCGTCGGAGTTGTGGGCAAGTCAGATGCAGGGCAGCAGTGTGAAGGAACCAGTACTGTGGGGGCCTTATCATGATTATAGTATAATATACCCCAAAACTTAAGGCCCCTATATCAACATCATTCATCAAGCTCAACACGAAAACCCAAAAGACCGAAGCATAGCTTCGATCTCCAAGCGCATCGTCACAGCCGAATACTGTCCTGCCCCATGTTCACGCCGTTTTAAGCAACACTGCCATTCAGACCGCACACCCTGAGCAAGCATGGAGGAGCCTCCACATGCTTTTCTTGCTCGGGAGCTTGAGAAGAGGGGCGCAGAAGTTGCTCGCCGCTTCCAACTCTAAAATGTTTAGGACTCATTGCCCCTGCTTCCTTGACATGTCCACTTTGCGCGTTTAAGACCGTGTGGGTGTACAAGGCAATAGCTTCATGTGTACATGACCACCGAAATGAAGCCAGTGATAACAGGATCCATCCTGATGAATGAGAGGGGGATAGTTGGGCATGCTTTACGGTGAGTTTGCTCTCCGCTTCTATGTTTGAATTCTACGACATGCGGAGATATTCGCACAGACTCGTATGTGTAGAGAAAACTTTTTAGAAAATTTACACCTGTCACTGTCGCTTTCAAAAAGTCGAGCATTCTGTGCATTGCTGACAGGCCAAGTAGCTAACCCACAATTTGGATGTACATCTGTAAGTGTGTTCATGTGCAGTTATGCAAGTGAGTCGGCCCACGTGGCAACGTCTGTTAAAACAATATTGGGAGTATGCATACATTTGTGTGTGTGGAGATCTCGTTAGGTATTCTACACACACACACACACACATATATATATATATACACACATACATGTACATATTTTACATACATAGGTACAAACATTGACATGTGCATGTATACATATATGTAAATGAATGAATCAACAATGTGTGTATATAGATATACATGCATACATACTTCCATGCACGGCGCGTGTCTTCATCAACGCCTCAGCTACAGACATTTGCATACATGTTAAATGCAGTTGGTGTGCAAACATGACACGATCAATGCATCGATGCCTTCGGGGGTAGATGAGTGCAAATCATGCATCGATCCATATAACATAGATGAATGTGTGCCCTATGCTGAGATGCCTACGCAGTATGCGTGTGCGTATGTATGTGTGCGTGTGTGTATACTCGTATCTATATATATATATCGAGAGAGAGAGTATAGTCATACTTATTTGGTTATGTGTTCATGTGCTTTATGTTTGAGCGCGTTTGCGTGCAGGCCTATGTATATATATATATACACATACACATATTCACACACTTACATACACATGTTCGAAGCTGTGTATGTGCACGCGCTTCCGTTTTGTTGGGTCACAACGAGTTAGGACAACGGAGACGAAGAGAGCGAGAGAGAGACAGAGAGAGCGAGAAAGAGCTTCGTCCTTTCACGACTGCCTGCTATATCCACCTTTGTATGCCAAGTGGCTGACTGGCCGATAGCTTGGCCCTCCCCCGGCACTGGTCAAGAGATCCGAACACCCTTTCTCCCGTGCAACTTGGACATGTCAGTCTAGCAGGGGTGAAAAGCATGGTTCAAGCAGAAGATTGCCCCAAACCCTGAACCTCATGCAGCCTGAACTTCCAGCACCTACCGTAAGCCGAAGTCAAACTGCGCTTAGCTCTCTTCGCAGAACCATGCAGTCCTCGACTTGGAGTTGAGAGGCCGTGCACATGCGGCGTTAAGACACCGCTAAGATTAGCACGAAGATCCTGAAAGAAGCGTTGTCATTAGGCCGCAGCAGTGGCTTGCCACTCGAGCGGCAATCCTTGATCTTGTGTTCAAGAGCATTCGTGCACTCCAGACGGCGTGCCAGCAGCAGAAGAATATCGCCGCAAAATCCACAGGTGCGTAGAGAGTTCCGTGTATGCTCTCGGCACAGGGACTACCACGTTTCGGGTTTTTGTATTCTGACCCAT